AAATGCTAAGAAAAAATTAAATAGAAATATACGAAAGAAATTGAATTAAGATTGTAAAAAAGGAAGAGAAAATTATGTGTTGCAAAAAAATAAAAAAATAAAAATTAAACATGAAGGAAATACAGCAAAACAAAAAAAAGCATCTGAGTATAAACAAAAAGGAAATTCTTTAAGAATGTAAGAAAGGAATGGACACTTATTGGGGCAAAACCCATGAGAAAAAACAATATAGTAAACAGCTAAGAAAAACAGCAAAGCAAACAAAAAAAATATGTAACAAAAAAAAAGAAATGGAAGAAAAAAGAAAAAGGTTATGTAAGGATGCTAGACGGAAGAGATATTATAATGAAAATAAAAGGAAGAAATGCTATAAGAAATAACATTAAGAAAGAAAGATAAACAAATAATCTCATAACATAAAAATAATCTAGTATAATAAAAGCACAACATGGGAAGAAAATTAGGAAAATATTATAAGAGAGAAAAAGAATTAAAAGAAAAACAAGATATTATAACAGAAGGAGTAACTACTCGAAGAAAAATAATATTAACAAAGAAAGAAAAAATAGCTCACCATGAAAAAACTTATTTACATAACTGAAAAACAGAACAAATGACAAAAGACATAAAATGTATATGAAATGAAAGAAAAAAAACCATTATGTATGAAATTTAGAAGAAAGAGGAATTAATGGAATAAAAAACATTAATAAAGAAATTATAAAAAGTCATATAACAAAAAACAATTTGTAAAAATGAAAGCAAAACAAATGGAAAAAAGTAAGAAATAATTCGAATGGAAGAAAAAAGAAGACGTTATATAATCATTTTAGAAGAAGAGAAACAAAAGGAAAAATAAGAAACAAAGAATAAAACTTTCACAGCTAAAGAATGTTTTTTGAAAAGAAAAGAATGGTATCGAAACATATAAAAATCTATAGAAAATAGGAGAAAAGACATGTAAGAAAGAAAGAAAAGAATTAATGAAATAAAAATGACATTAAGAAAGAAAGAATAAAAAAACAATTATATAAATGAACGAACGACACAGGAAACAAACGAATATAAGTAAGAATAAAAAATCGAAAAAAGGAAATAAAGGAAGAGAGAAATAAAGTAATAAGTAAATAATGGAAGAAAATAAAACAAATTATAAAAAACAAATGAAACCTTAAATAGAAGCTACATCTGATTAGGTAGCTGTCTTTTTGACATATTATCTTATATTCTGATTAATTTCTATCTGAAACCAAACATCATTCCAACAAATAACCAACACTCCATTATTATTAGGATCCAACATGTCAAATTTATTTAGATTATTCTCTGCACTTTCGTTTATGATCCGTATAGATTTCCTGCATTGCAAGAAATGTATTAGAAACAGAAACATATATGCGTTTATAGAGGTTGTTATATATAAATATATAAATATCAATATATAAATAATAAATAAATAGGTTACACTTATTGAATAACATTTTTTATTCTTTTATATATAAATTCACAATATCTTCAAATCTTTCTGTTCAATACTAATTTAATTTAAACAAAACCAAAGAACATTGTGAAGCATTGTAAAAATTAGGAAATTTTAATTAACACAAGATGCTAGAATCAGTCGTTTTTGCGAGAACACAAAGAAAGAAAGAAAGAAAGTGATTAATAAAGACAGAGTGGAGGAAATTATTATTATTATTATTATTATTATTATCATTATTATTATTATTATTTTGAAAAATAAATTTAAATCCTTATGGACAAATGAAAGATAAAGTGAAATGTTTGTGAATAAAAAAAACTCTTCACAAAATATATAATTAAATTATTATACATGATGTATATTTTTTCATATTTTTAATAATAATATATATGTGATATAGAAATCTGTAAAACAAGAATAATATTAAGAATAAAACCTGTCAGAAAGAGTGACAAATTATTTGAATAAGTGGTTGACCGCACTATCCGAAGATACCGTTCTACTAGGGCGGCAAGGCAATCCCTATTGCAGAAGCCTGTGCATTTGTATTTGTTCAACACCTACAGGGCCTACCTGTTGTTTATACTGCAACTATGTTGAGCGGGTCGATAACATTAATAAGTAAACATTCTGATAAATCTACCATAAGGAGATTCGAACCCTGATGTCATGGACGGAAAGCGAACGTTCTAGCCTATGTAAACACTGCATAAAATAAAACTTGAAGCGCAATAAACCTTTCAATTGTAAACTTATTAAAAAGGAAAAAAAACGGGAGATGAACCAAATAAATACATCATATGAGATCATTCAACAGGAAGATTGAAAATATGGAAAGTGTAATAAACTATTAAAAATTATGGAAAGACAAACAACTAAACAAGAATAATGGTATAATGAATGAGAAAACATATACGAGCAAAATGAGGAACAGAAAAAAGTTAAGCAGATATTTTTGAAAAATAAAGAACGATTGAAAATAGATTAAAGAAAGAAAGAAGAAGGAACAATAGGAAAATGAAAGCCATAAATGAAACACCGAAAGACTTTATAATCGGAGAGAAAAAAGAAATTGAGGAAGCAATAGTTAAAGTAAAATAAACTTATAGAAAAAGTGAAAAAAGAAATAAAACGTCTTTAATAAATCCCTAAATAAAGAGAAACGAATGAAAAACTTTAGGTACGAAAAAACCAAAAAATAGACAAACGAAAAACGTATGTCGTACGAGAGAAAGAGGAATGGATTAAAACCGCAATAAATTAATGAGTAAATAATTTAAAATAATAAAAAGAATAAAGAAAGAAAGAAAGGGAGAAGTTAAAGGAATAACTTGACAATGAAAACCTGAAAGAAACATAGAAAGAAAGAATAATCAGAGAAAAATAGTGAAAAGAAAAAAACCCCAGCAACAACGAAAAAGAACTTATAGAAAAAGCGAAAGAAAAGAGAACAAGACCCCAAATAAGAAGAAACGGATTAAAACCTCTCATAATAAAATATAACTAATGGAGGAACAAACAAAAAGTCAGAAAGGAATTATAACATGTGGAAACAAGAAAAGCTACAATCAGAGTATGAGTATGGGATTTAAAATTAAACAATAATTACGGAAAAGAAAAGAAACGATTGAAAAAAGAAATTCAACACTAAAAGAAAGAAGATGAAAAGAATGGAAATGGATGGAAAAAAGGAAAAGCGAAAATTAAGGGAATGAGAATTAACTTGTAAAAAGAAACAAGAAAGACCAAAAAGAAACAGAAACAGTTTGAAAAAAAAACGACAATAAATAAAAAAGATATGAAAGAACGATCGAAAACTACGGAAACGCGTGATAAAAAGAAAAGCTAAAATAAAGGTGAATTCTAAAGGAAAATTAAATACAAATTGTACGGAAATTGGCAGAAAAAGAAAAGTTAAAATAAAACAATGAGTAGGAAATTGAAATGAATAAAAAAATATCAAATGAAACAGAAATGTTTAGAAAAAAGGGAAAAAAAGACACTAAAATAAAGTGTATGCAATTTGAAAGCAAAGAAGAATGTTTGAAAGGAAAGGAAATGGATGGAACAAAAAAAGCGATAAGAAAATAATAATATGAAATTTAAAAGGAACGAAAAAGATCGAAAGAATTGGAATGTATGCAAAAATAACAGCCACAATACACAAAAGGGTATGACTTGCTTTAGTAGACCACAAAGATTTGAACCATAACTCGTCGAAAGAAGCAATAATAAAGATATGAGTGCGAAATTTAAAATGAAAGACGTAAGTTCGAAAGGAAAAGAAAGGGATGATAAAAATAAAAGAGGCAACCAACGAGAGTAAATACAATTTGAAAGCGAACAATAAAGATAGAATGGAACGGAAACCGATGGAAAGAAGACAAGTACACAAAAGAAAGATCATGACATTTAAAGGGAAAGAAGACAGATCGAAAGGAAAATATACGATTTGAAAAATAAAGTTGACAGTTAACGAAAGAGGATAACATTTAGAACGAATCAGGAAGTTTGAAAAGAAAGGAAACGGATAGATAAATTAAAAGTGGAAATAAAAAAAAATGAGTATGAAATTTTAAAAAAAAAGCAAGAAAGAACGAACGGAACGGAAAAATATCGAGAATACAGAAAAGTGCAATCAAAGAAACATTTTAAAATTTAATTCGAAACAAAAAAGATAAAAAGAACGAAATATATGGAAAAATGAAAAGAGATAATAAAAGAAAGTGTATGCAATTTAAAAGGAAACAAACATATTTAAAAAGGAACGGAGATTTGTGCGAAGAAAGAATAAAAAGAATCTATGAAATTTAAAATGAAAGAAAAAAAGATCGTAAGTTACCGAAACGTAGAGAAAAACAGAAAATTGTAATAAGAGAAAAAGTATGAAATTTAAAAGTAGACTAGTGAAATCATAAGAACTGAAAAGTATCGAAAAAGAACAGTTACAATAAATGAAGGAGAATAAAATTTATAAGAAAAAGAAAAGAAAAACTGAAATTAGTGGAAACTGATGAAGAAAAAAGAAAAACGAAAATAGAAGAGTATAAAATTAAAAAATGAAACAAGATGGCCGGGAAATGAACAGATGGAAAAATAGGCAATAAGATAAACAGTATAAAATTTAAAAGGATTCATGAAATTAAGAAAGGTACATAAACGGATGGTCAAAAAAAAAAAAAAAGAAAATTAAAAAATATAAAATTAAAAAAAAAACAAAAAAAAAGAAAATTAAAAAATATAAAATTAAAAGAAAAACAAAAAAAAATGACGTTTTTAATAAGAAATGGAAACATCAGAATAATATTGGAAGACGATAGGACAGGTGAAAATTGCCGAAAGAAAATTTCTAAGAAAGAACGTATGGAAGTTTAATGAAAGAAATCCAAGCATTTAAGAACAAAAAATTAAAAAGTGAACAAATAACTACATCTTATGCGACAAAATATATAACAAGAGAAAACAAGACTAGCAAGATTGAGTCAAGGGAAGAGGAAGAAAGGTCGGATAATAAGCTTTAAAACGAATGAAAGTAATACGGAAAAACGGCGAAAAAAAAAACATGAAATAAAAAGAAAAAGAAATTAGCAAAAAAATACATCAGTAAGAAAGTGGGGATAAAAGCGGTAAGAAAAAACAAAAGAAATAGGATGGAATGAAACAAAAGAAAAGCTAGTAGCAAAGAAAGAAAAAGAACGACGAAAGAAAAGCTAAGGAAATAACGAAATAAAAATACACTAAGGAGATATAAATGTTATGCTAGAATGAAAAAAGAAGGAAGAAAATGAAAGAGGTTACTTGTAAGAACAAAATGTCTAAGCAAATATAAGTGAAAAAGAAGCGTAAGGACAAATGGAAAATAATTCATGTAAACATAAGAAAAGACAGATGAAGAACGGAATAAACAAAACCAAAATGAAAATAGTAAAATATCAAGAAGCAAAAAGAAAACATTTAAAAAAGAACTTCAATATGCGTAAGAAATAAAACATTGGAATAAGATTCTAAAGAGAGAGGAAGGAATTAAGTAAATACAAGATGACAGAAAAAGAAAGAAAAAAAATTAAATTCCATGAGTAAGCACGAAATATTGAAGAGAGAAAATGAAAAAAATAACCTGTGGAAAATACGAATGAAAAAAGTTAAAAAAAAAAAAAATTTCGCAAGTAGAAATAAAGTAAAACAAAAGTAAAAAAAAACGATAAAAGAAAAAAGATATGAATGAAGTAAATAAAATAAAGATGATGAAGTGAATTTCGAACAAGAGGTAAATATTAAAAACGAATGAAAAGAAGGAAACTTGATGGAAGGGGAAAGAAAACACATAGGAAAGAATGAAATAAAGTTAAGTAGATAGATTAACAGGAAATGTATGCAAGAGAAACACACAAACTAATCTGTGAGAATAAGCGGGAAGCGAACGAAACAGAAATTTATAGGATGAAAAAAAATACTTAAAACTAATGATTCAAAATAAGATAAGGAAACAATTAAGAATGAGTGAAAGAATGCAGAACTTTGTAAAAAAGAACATGAAGAATAGAACGAAGGAAGGATTAAGGAATTAATATGGAAAAAAGAAGCAAAATAAGTGACGAACGGAAAAACAAACTTCTGTTTAAAATGGAAGAAAATCAAAAAATACGAATGAATAAGAACGGGAGGAAACACCGAAAGAAAGAGGAACAAAATGAAAATCGTTCCTGTAAAAGAGAACGAAGGAAAAAGCAATAAATAGAAATTACAAAAGCTAACAAAATAAGAATGAAAAGGTGTGTTATAATGAAAGCTTATTAGCAAAAAAAAAAACAAAACAAAAAAACCAACAACAAAAATACAATTTGTGAGATAAACGAAAAAAACTACAAGAAAACAACGAAATAAATAGGAAAACAAAGAGGATAACCCGCAGTAATGATGAGAAAAAACGACAAGAAAATCAAGAAATTCTGTAGAATAAAAAGAAGAAATGAGAAACGAATCGACAAAAGTAACCGTATACAAACGAAGGAAAGAAATACGTTCAAAAGTAAAATTTACAGGAATAATGAAAGAAGAAAGAATGAAAGCCAAAAGAAATCATTTACCGACAATGATAAAATAGGAATAAAAATGTTGAAACATTTCAGAAGAAAAATGAGATATATACCTGAAATAAATAAAACTGAAAAAATTAAAATATATTTAAAGTTTAAAAACGAAAAAAAATAGTAAAAAAAAAACACATAAGATAAAACAAAGTAACATGCAGAAGGTAATATTGTACATATTTGCAGGAATTATATAAAAAAAAGAAAGAAATGTGATAGAAATTAAATATAAATGAAAGAACGAATGGAAAAAATAAAGTATGTAATAAATAACGAAAGAAATGGGTGGCATTTCAAAAATCTATTAGAAAAAATATGGAAAAAAAGGAATAGAAAAAAAAACTTTAAGAAAAAGAAACGAAAGAAAGAGAAATAAATGAAAAAGAAAGTTTGTAAGAAATAAAGAAAAAGATGAATAGCGAATAAAAAAAAAATCATTCATTTTTTTACAGAAATAATCTAGATGGCATAAAGAGATATTAAATCCCATAAGAACGAAATCAGATGAACGAATGAACAAGCAGATGAACAAATAAATAAACAGTGATCTATAACGAAAGAAAAACAAGTAAACGAAATAAATAAAACCGTTTAAAAAAGAGTAAAACAAATGAAATTAAGAAATGAATATATTTAAAATATAAGAAAAGTCATAATTCAGAAGAAGGAAGAATTAACAGAAATGAATAAAAATAATTTTAAAAATAGCGGGAAAATAATTCTCAATAAACAAGAATATAGAAAATTTGTAAAGGAAACAAAAATGTGAGGATGAATGAGATTTAATTATGAAAGTGGTAAGTAAAGAAATATGTAGTTAGAAACGATAAATTAAGAAAGATATACAAAAGGAAAGAAAAATACTAAAAACTGAGATGAAGTAGAAAGAAAAGAGAAAAATAGAGAAAGAAAGAAAGAAAGAAAGAGAAAAAAGAAAAAAGAAAAAGAAAAAAAGAAAAAAAAGAAAGAGAAAATAAAATGATGACAGAAAAAGTGAAAGAAAGTCAGAAAGAGAATAAGAATGATGCAAAAAGAAAAGAAAATGTCAGTAGAAAGAAAAGACATTATGAGACAACTAGCAATGAAAATACGAAGTATAACATAAAATATTAGATTGATTAATTTGTTTTGACGGCTTATCGAAATTTTGCAGTTTATTTAAATCCAGAATATATATATATATATATATATATATATATATATATATATATATATATATATATTTAAATTATAAGAATATCGTAAGATAATAATGATTTTTTTTTATAGAAGTATTATTAAATAACTCATAGCTAGAAGGAGAAGAAGTGGTTCATAACTTTCCCAAATATATTTGCCCGTTAGTGAATATAAGTAACCCGATTTGATTTGCAACTCGGTTCTCCGATTTTGAATTCCGAGGTGCTAGCCATTACCCCACCCACACATCCAAATTTGCAAAACCTAGTATTCCCAAATGATCACCTATGTAGGTACTGACTAAGCTCGACGTTGATTAACTTCGGTGACCTGACGCGAATTGGCGTTTCAAAATGATATGGCCTTAAATTGAAAACATTTGTTAAATAGAGAAAAAAACAAATGAAAAAAAAAAGAGAAGAAAAAGCAAAAGCGAATGTATAGAGAAGGGAGAGATGATAAGGAAAAGAAAGTAAGAAATAAAGAAAGTGAAGGAAAATCGAAGAAAGCGAATGAGAATAGAATGATAACGAATAAACTAACGAAAAAGAAAACAATGACTGAAAAATAAGCATGAGACGTGACATGAAAATAAAAAAAAAAGAAAATCTAAGAATAAAGAAAGGGAAAGGATTGATGCTTTATGGGAAATAACAACAAAAAAATAACTGAATTTAAAGAGGGAAACGAAAATAAAAGAAAGGAAAGGAAATTAAAATAAAGGAAAAAGAAAAAAGTAAAAGTCTCAGAAGAAAGGAAAACAATCAAAAATGGAGCCAATTATAATAATAATAATAATGATAATTGCTATCAACTCGTATCCGCCCCAAACCCTATTGCAGAACCCTGCTCAGGCACATTTGTGTTTGTTCAACAACGACAGAGCCCACCTGTGGTTTATACTGCAACTACATGAGCGGAACTTGGTTACGGTTTCTGATCAACACTCAGACACTCGGTCACAATGACTTGCGACTTCATACTATCACAACCTTCAAGGGCTCCCAAATAGTTCCATCTACTCAATTACAATCACAAGCCTTTGGTCAAACCGTAGTATGATTTTTAGACACTCCGCATCCTAGGATCGCCTCTTAGGTCTTTTAACATCAAAAAGTGACAAATTAACCATAATATGATTCAAATACATATCTCATGGTCGGAAAGCGAATGTTTTAACCAATCAGCCACGATTATTATTATTATTATTATTAAAATAATAATAATCAAAATGATTTACGTAACTCTCCCAATATTTTTCAACGATTTAAGAAAAGATAAAAATTAAAAAAAAAAACACATTCCTTGACAATGTTAAACAATATTTCAACAGAATATCTGTCTTCTTGAGGTTATATTTAAACAATTTTTTCAAATATAAAATATATATAAATCTACCAAAATTACAAGTCTTTGTACAAACGTTGCTTGTCTACGATTTATAACAGATTGAATACAGTAATTGTGGCACAATGCTAAAAAAATGGATATTTTCAAGTTTGCACAACGGAAAAATTAAATAAAATATTCAATGGACACAGGTATGATCTCAGGTGCAATAATGTGACATCAACGGAACTTGCAGAGCATTTTATTACTAACGACCGTAATTTCGACAAACATCTTAAGGTACACATTCTGAAAAAAATATTCAGAATCTACCGATCTTTCGACCCTTAAAAAGGATGAGGCTGGTTACATAAGAAAATTATTATCTTTACGGCCCGAGTATATGAACAGAATGCCAGGAAATTTCCATAAGATTTATACTAAGCTGTTTGATTATTTCCTATTAGTAAGTAATCAACTAACGGAAAATTCCAAGATGAACAATATCATCTTCATATTAGCAAGTTTCAGTTGCATGCCTTCACGGGGGCGGCGTTGCATTCGTTAAGACACGTTTATTACCAGTTCAGCAGTTTTTCATTACACAATAAGCAACGTTTGTACAAAGACTTTTCGTAGATTTATATATTTTTATACTTAATAATAATAATAATAATAATAATAATAATAATAATAATAGCTGATATATAAAAATGAATGATCAGTATCAAACTCGTAAAGAGATTAAAAAGCATACAGAAAAAATAACATCATTTATTTTTGCCCGGAATGTTGGGTAAAAATAACAAATGAATTAGTTTTGAAACTTAAACTTTCTATTCATCTTCATGTTTTACAAAAAATTGTTTGGGTGCAAGCGTGGAGCAAACAGGGAAGGCAGTTCTTTTTGTTTTTTTGT